AAAACTGACCCATTGGCCTAGAATATGATCAATTTATATAAATGTTTATTCATGAAAGAAAGTATAATTTCTAGTTCTTGGATATAGTCCTCTACATATGTTCATTAAGTTTTCCTTGAAATTGTTTAAGAGACAAGCTAAGCTCTCTGTTGCCAAGGTTGGCCTGGATATCCTAGCCTCAAATAAACCTCCTGCCTCAGTCTCTTGAGTAGCATTGCAAGCATTTACCACCACACCCAACTTTTAACTATGTTGCTTAAATTTTTGAAATCCTTACCAAAAATTTGTTTGCTCAATCAATTACCACACAATTGATAAAGGTTGAAAGTGAGAGAGGTGAAAAAAATTTCTAACCATGACAGTGGATCTGTCAATTTTTGTTTTATGTGTATTGAAGCTATGCTATGCACATTTAAACTATAATATTTTAGTGGTGAATTGTTTTTTCTGGCAATGCTGATCTCTAGTAATCTTTAGTGATTTTTCTTTGAAGACATTAGCTTTCTTGAATATTCATTTGGTATAATTTTTTTCCATTCTGTGACTCTTAAACTTTCTATGTTTTATGTATCTTGAAAAACCTTGGAAAATGTTTCGACAATGTCTGCAAATGAAATATATAGCCCACTCATTAAGAAAGATTACTGGATTCACTTTTACTACCGTGTGTGTTTACTACTCTTTGTTGCATGTTGCATTTAACCTTAATTCTTGCCATCTTTTTGGTTCTTTTTCCTCATCCAACGTTTTCCTTGTACTTCTTTCAAATCTGTACTCTTTCTTTTCTTTTAGTGATCACCCCAGAAATTCAACCACATACATTTTACTTAAAATCTCAAATTAAAAAATATATTTATCTTCCTCTTGAAAAGTATAAAGAAATTAGAATATGGTAACTTTTCACTCCTTTTCTGACCAGGATATTAGTGCATATGCTCTACGTGATCAATTTTGTTTAGGTTTCCACCAGCTTATCATTATTTTTTTTGCCCATCATTCCTTCTTGCATCTCGTACATTACTTCCTCTTAGTCCCTTCAGAAAAGATGCTGCCCTTCAAGGGTCCAGGATTAAGTAGAGTCTCTGATCCAGTCTCCTACTCTGCTTGAACCCTCAACTCTGTCTCTTGTCCTCTGAGTGCACTGCCTTTGTACAAGCACCTCACTGCCAGGTGCCAGAAGATGCCCTCAGGAGGAAGTTTCAGTTAGCTTACTCTTATGGAATCCAGCATCCTGTCATTTCAACTTCTGAATGTTTCCTTTAGTTTCCTGCCTGCTCAACCATGCTTTCAACAAATATTTAATATATATTTCCACCACTTTTAGATGACCTGACAAGGAAGTATTTCTCTGCAAATTATTCTATGCTGTTGTTTAAATGATCTTAGTGGACTTATTTAGCATTCACATTCTATATGATTTTATATATTCTTTTTACTATGTATATTCCATTAGTGAAAAGCATCTAGAAATCAAATTGGTTAAGAATTTTTTAATTACAAAGGATGTTTTTGGCCAATGATGTATATTTCAATTAAAAACACTACTCTTTTTTCTGAATTCTTAGTGTAAATGTAGACTCTGATATAATAGACATTCTCTAAACATTTTATAAAAATTTTTAAACATAAAGTTGACCATGTTTGTGTACCTTTGAGTTCTATCATTATTTTATAATATTGTTTTATCATAAATCAATCCATTTATCTATCCCTCAATACCTGCATTAGTTCATTTTTTGTGTCACATTGGGAAATGTAGACATCAGTGCATTTCTCTATAAACATTTCATAAAAATGATATTTCTATTTCTAAGAATAAAGCTCCATTTCTCAAGATTTTGTTTACTGTATTTTAAGAATTTAAAAAGTAACTATGTTATAATCATGTAAAACTACTGGATCAGAAAACAACAGTCTTAAAGTTAAGAGGGGAGAAAAGAAATTAAATTAAATATGAATGCTTTGTGACATGCCTCTGTTAGTAAAATAAACTTCATATGTGGCACAATCATTTGAAACATTCGCCTTTCATTTCAACAATATTTACATTCCTACAATAGTTTCTATGTGTTTACGATGATGAGGTTTTACTTGCCAATATTTCCCTGTCGAATATTTCTAGAATATTCTATTTCATAAAGGTAGGAAGATGAAAATTACCTTCTATTTTAGGCAAAATTGTACTTGCCTTCTAACCTTTCAGCTTAATAATTTTATGAATAAGATTATACCATCTTTTAAAATTTTATTATAATAGCTGAGTTTGGTGGCACAGGTCTGTAATCCCAGCATTCTGGGAGTTTGAGACAGGAGGTTCACAAGTTTGAGCCCAGTCTGGGCAATTTAGCAAGACTCTATCACAAAATAAAAAATAAAAAAGGGCTGGGGATACAGATCAGTGAAAAAGTTTTTGGCTCAATACCCAGTACCAAAACAAAAGATTTTATTAAAAGAAATACTTCATTTACTATGTGCTTATCACTTTTTATTTTTAATGTTAGGAGCCATGATTTATATTTTTAGAGGCTAAAGACAAAAAATATATACAGAAAAAGATATTCTTGTCTACTGTGAAGGCAAAATCAAAATTGTACAGAAAACATTTATTTTTAAGAATCTACACAATACAATTGTCTACTATCACAAATCCTTACTATGATAATAACCCTTTATATGCTGGTCAAAATTAAAATCCATGTAATATTTTACTGTTCTTTATTAAAATAACTCAATCTGAACTCAGGCAAACTGAGTTCTATGTGAGTAATTTTAGGTATATATTCAATATTCATGGGACTCCTATACATCTTAAAGCTTCCTATGATGGTCTTTACTTTTTAAGATTTCTTCTATTATTTAAAAACTTTTTTAAAAAGACTATTTTTTAAAAAAATCAGGGTTCTCTCTGTTTTTTGTCCTTTTTTTTTTTTTTTTTTTTTTTTTTTTTTTTTTTTTTTTTTTTTTTTTTTTTTTTTTTTTTTGGTGCGGGGGATTGAACTCGGGCCCTTGCCAAGCAGATGGCAGAACTACTGAGCCAAATCCCCAGCCCCTCTAAAAAAGACTATTCAACAATGATAAGCCAAAGCACAGAGAATAATGCAATTGTAACATTTCATAAATACAAAAGGCATTTGTCTTTTTTTTCCCTCTAAGCAGGATAACTTTTTTTTTGATACTGGGGATCAAACTCAGGACCTTGCACTTTCGAGATAGGCTCAGTGCCAGTAGGCTAAATCCCTGGTCCCACCACTTCTTGGGAGCAGAAACGAATGGTTCCAATTTAAGCTATCTCATTTAATTTCTTCTAAACTTCTTTTTCATAATGCTATGTGCAGGCTACTTTTCAAAAGAAAAGTAACATTATAACTAAAACTCATTATAACTAAAATAGTATTAAAGCATTCAAAAAGGGAAACATGAAAAAGCTAGTGTACCCCAAGGGTACCCAAGGGGAAACATTCAATTCTATATACAACCACACAGAATATCTAAAATCTAGTAATAATGATAGTAGTAAGAGCTACTTTATCAAAGTAAGTCTAAAAATAATTAGAAAACTGCATTTGAGGAAAACCAACAAACAAAAAATTTCATGTTAGATATAAGTAGTCTAGGGTCAACAAGATGGTTGTAAAATAGTATGTTTAGGCAAAAACCAAACAACTACCTAAAGCCTATAAAGCCACCAAGAGTAAGCTTGCAAAACTTCTGTTTCATTCGTGTTACTTTTTTTTTGGGTTCTTCAGGCAAGAGGTTAACTCATTAATTTTCTCCAGACAGACAGAGGGAAAACAAAATAGCAAGCCCTTAATTCAAATGAATGTGACATTAATATATGGCATATATATGCCATATATACATATATATATACATATATATATATATATATATATATAATAAAATTATGGCGATACCTCAAAGAGCTGGGACTAGAGGTTCCATTTGACCCAGCCATAGCTCTGCTGGGTATCTTTCCAAAAAAATTAAAAGAATCATATCACAGTGATATATGCACACCTATGTTTATAGCAGCACAGTTTGTAATAGCTAAAACATGGAAACAGCCCATTTTCCCATCAGTTGGAAAATGGATAAAGAAGATGTGGTTTTTCTATAAAATGGAATACTACTCAGCCATAAAGAATGATAAATTAGAGTTGTTCATAGGAAAATGGATGCATTTTGAGGATATACTCCTAAGTGAAATAAATAAGTCACACATGTGTAAATGTCGAATAGTTTCTCTGGTGTGAAAAACTATAGTAGTACACAAGATCCTAATGAGGTAATTAACAATGTGAAACAGGAAGTGTGGGGATAGTGGGAAGGGCAGAGAAGAGGGAATAGGGGAAAAGAAAAAAATATGAGAAAATGAAAAAATGGAAATAAAGTGTTTGTAAATGGGGAGGGTAGGAGGGAGTGAAGGGAGGGCAGGGACAAGGGGAAAAAATGAGAACCAAGACCTGTCATGTAGATGTACAAGATCCTAGTAATGAATGTAACTGTACTATATACCTAGAATGTACCGATAAACTCAATACAAAGAAAAAAAGCAGAAAAAGTGAAGTATAATAAAGCTATGAATTGCCACATTTATGAGAAGATAATCTACCTACAGTAATTCTGAAAGTAAAACATGTCCCTGATTGTCTCAGAGCCTTACAGCACACTCATATATTTAACTTCAATTTAAATGAAAACGTTACTCTGGTGATAGGAATAAAACTCAGTTAACAATTTTATAATGACTTTACAGAGCTGGTAAATTTTGCTTTCACATTAAAGGGGAAAGCTGCATAAGAATACGGATGACATAAAAGGCCTAAGCAATACTGAAATATTTCCTTAAAAGGAAAACAAATTAAAGAATATTAAGAGAAAATTTTTATTTTAAGAGATGTACTACATACTGAAAACAGCCCTATTATGAAATATGCTCATTAAAAATGGCTCCTAAAATAGGGAAATTAGTCTGACATTGATGTAAAGATATGAATCACCTGAGCAAGTGGTGGAAGAATCTTCTTGCATATTTGCTGATTTGGTCTCTATATTCCAAAATAGTTGTATCCAGAAGTGGTCTTGATGGAGCATAGAAGGTTCCAAGGCTTGCCTCAAGCTGTGCTATGGAATTCAAAGGGCAGCATTAAAACAAGTGAAACTCCTTTAATAATAATAGAATACTCATGTTTGCAGTCAGTCAGGTTTTGCAAACTTGGATGAAATGTGAGCTTGTTGCAGGAAAGATGAAATTAAAGTATGACAGCTAGTACAAAAACAAACCTGTGTATAAACTTTCACTTAAAGCAAAGCTGACAATGACTCTGAGCAACAAAAAGCTGTCAAAACTGAAAAAATCCATAATGAGCTAACCTCTCACCACAAATGGGTAATTAAAACAGTGACTCATCAAAACTAACACAGTTTTAATTAGTAGTTCCAGTAAAAATCAACTCTCAGTGTGCTCAATGTTTACTCTGTTTAGCTGAAAGGAGAAAACCGTTTTGCATGGGGAATTGAAATCAGCTGTAAAAATCAGTAAAACTGTCTTTAAAACTAATACAAATAGAAAAAGCCACATTACAATAGATCCCATACAATTTTAGAAGAACAGACGTCCCTATGTGATTTCTAAATCCTGCCCTAAAAAACAAGATTCTTGGTTTTGTCCACATGTGAAAACTAACACCATGGTAGAAAAAAAGGAGGATTGGAAAATGGGATTTGATAAACAAGGGTACTAAGAGATTAATGGTATGGGCACAGTTTGTCTACTTCACAATTTTATCAAGACATGCCTGTGGGGCTGTGCTTTCTCACAGAAATACCTAAAGCTGAGTAATTACCACAATGGCGAGAGTATTGAGTATTTATGAGAACACTTCAGTTCACAGTTAGACTCCTTTGATTTTTATGCTAGTAGCACTAGATTGAATAAAACAATTTGTTCTTTAGCAAAACTCTTTCGTTTTTGGCATACTTGGGTTTAGAAGTATTAAACACCCCATCAAGTAATTGCTATGGACTTGGCTAAGCTGTTAGTAATTTCTTTTCTCTTTTTTAAAATCTCAAATCTAGACAGTAAAGTAACATGAAATTTAGAGGTATTTTCTTTCAAAGCAGCAGTCAATTTAGATTAAAATTGAATACAGCAATGCTATTGTGAAAACAAGCCAGATTCTCTTGCCATTGCTTGTTTTCTTGACAGCATGTTTCGTAGATCTGAAATGTTCAAATCTATGTGGAATTCTCAGAACTCCTGGCCCAGTTATAGATTCATTAGATAGCTCAGCTTGATGTTTAAGGCAGAAATGAAGATCTCAAAAGATAACCACAACAAGGCTACAAATAAAAGAGCTCACTAGGTTCCACTAATGAAAGAAAACAAATTACCATGTCAAATTTGTTAGATTCAGATAGAATAAATCTCAACAGAGAATTCTGAATGTTTTAGAAATGTTCTGCAGTCACTTGGGAGAAATGTTCATATCTACTTAAATTGTACACAGTCTGATAACCCAGCATCATACAAGCATTTTAATACTCTAATATTATGAAAGCTTTTTATTTCTCCACATCTCCAACATGGTTGCTTGAAAACATCCTTTATGGGGACAAAGATCCGACAATGCCCATTCATGTATACCCTAATAATCTTTTTTACAAAACAATACTCTTAAAACATAAATGCACTACAGTGCTAGTAATTTCTCAATGTCCTGGAGTCAATATTTTATCTTTTCCATATTTCTTTTACTGTAAATTTAGGATATCTTATACAGATTATGTATATTACTATAGGTCTTCCTTAGGGTCTGTTTTTTTTTTTTTTTGTATGTACCAAATCTTGAGAGTATATCAATATTAAGAAATGATTACTTGAGATAACTCTGCAGGCAGAAATGTTATAATAATACCCTGTACTCTCAAATCTTTGAGTTATTCTTTTTCTTTTTACTTAATATCCAATGAGTACCTACTATGTGTGAAACATTGTCCTGGACATTTTCTTAGTGTGGAAATACAGTGGTCTCCAGAGGTGCATCTGGACTAATAATCCGTGCTGTTGATATTAAATAAATACTAATTGTGGTACTTCTATGAGTGGAGCCAAGATCCATGATACAGATTTCCTAAAGGAGCATGTTCTAATTATTCTCTAAAATTACAAAAGCCTGGGTACTGGTGCACATCTATAATCCCACTTACTCAGGAGAATGAGCCTTAAGGCTCAAAAGTTCAATTCCAGCCTAGACAACTTGGTGACTTAGCAAGACTCTGTCTCAGAATTTAAAAGGGGCTAGAGATATAGCTCAATGTGCAGGCCCTGGGTTTAATCCTCATACTACAAACAAAACAAAACAAAACAAATAAAAAATAAAATAAAATAGGATTGGGGATGCAGCTCCATGTTCTGAGGGTTCAGACTCTATTATAATAAATATATACATACCTACGAATAAAAAAAAGTTACTTATAGAATTCAATTCAAGCAACTTGTTTATTAAATGTAATAGACATGGAGTAAGAAAAATCTATTAAAAATTCAAAGAAAATACTCTTCAGTAAAGACCTTTTGATCTATATCTTTCTCTCTTACAAATTACCTAGGGACAGTTTCTCATTGGCCATGATATTCCACTTTCAATACAACAAAGACAAGAAATAAAGACACAAATGGCAGAATGCTCTGGTACATTTTACATTATATAAATGAATAACCCTTGAAAATGTATATTAGATAACTGAAAAGCTAAAAAGTTTTCTTTTTTTTTTTTAGCGTCTTATCTCTCTTTTGACAATAAACATCTGGGTCTCCTATAGGCACAATTACTTACTGACTAAAGGTGGGGAAATCCAAGCAGGGAGCTAGGAGAAGGGTGTCAAAAGCACAAGTTAGAAGAATGGGAACAAGAAGGATCAGCCTGGACTACAATTCTGACACATAAAAAGACTGAGTGCTAAGGACTATTATCTGGACAGATGACTGGTGTGAGAAAAAATATTGATGTCTCATGTGAGGGAGGAATAAAGGCCTTTGTTTAGTGCCCTTTGTCTACCAGACCCCAAAGAGTATGTGAAATTTCTGATCAAAGTTTGAAATATGAGCATATTCCACAGGAGCTTAGAGTAAACTGTACAATGACTGCATTGTGAGTCCCAATACAAGCATATACAGAAAAGTTGCTTATTATGTTGACAAATCCTAGACCATAAATACTATTTGGGAATAATTATTTGATATCTGATCCTGTTAGCTTTAATAGAGCTTCATCTTTAAGTCTCCAAAAATACAATTTTAAAACATCTAAGAAAGTTAACTGACTTAAAAATGTATTTCACATGTACACAACCCATTTAAGAGATCCAGTCTAACCTTCTCTTTCTGGAGTAAGCCTGTGCCTAAGAAGATAGTTCACAATGGCAGTCATGCTGATAAAGCACTGCTGGCCCAGAGTGTCCCAGTTCATGCTGCTCAGGATGTTTATAGCCTCATGAATCTCATCATAGTGAATGTACTGGAAGATGATATCTACTGGGCCAAGCTGTCCTTGATTGAGGACACCTGTAACAAAACAAAACCAAGTGAGTAACAAAGTAGAATAACAAATACAAAATTAACTTTCCCATATGGAAAAAATAGTAATCATTTCTTGCACAAGGATTAGAACTGTGGAAATGATCCCTTTCACAACCAATGTTTGCTATAAAATATCTTCATATAACAGGGACATATTTTCTCCTTTTACAATGAAAGAAATTGAAAATCTTAAAGGACAAAGAGCATTTAAAAAATTCAGGAGGAGAAGGCATTCTGATCTGGGTTTATTTTATAGTCTTAAAAGGTTTATCTCATTTGAAACTAATAATTTCTCTATGTTAAATGACAATAAGAACTAGGGACTTTAAATCCATTTCTGTGTTTTTTCAGCATTTAAAAATGATTAGCTATAAAATCTCATTTTCTTCAACCATTTACTTTGAGCTGATTTGAGCAAGTCTATAAAAATAGCACAAATTTAAATGAAAAAACATATAAAATTACTTTGTAAGCTTTGTAAGCTATAAAATAGTACTGCAATTCCTTTTATTAGTTTCATAATTTCACCCGTTTATAGGCTTTACAATTTAAAAAATGATGACATTCTTCATCCTAACTTTAACTCATGAAATAAAATTTTGTGCTACACCTAACAGGACTCAACTTGACAGGCAATCTGAAGAATTGCCCTATCCAAAGCAATAAAACTTTACTGTTTTCTTCATGTTGGTAGAATCAACAAATGTCACTATTCAAAACCTTTCAGGAGCCTCAAGTCAGTCACTAAGTCCTCATAAATCAGAGCAGCCTCTTCACAGTAGATAATATGTAGGCACTGTGCAGGAAACTGAAAATACCTGAAATCTGTTGACTTTATCTATACTCGAAGCTACATTTATAAAAGTAGCAAGAGAAGTAAATGATCTATTGAGAAAATAAATTATCATATAATCAAATAGTTAGAAAACATATAATCAAATAATCATATAATCAAAATCATAAAATCAAATAGGTAAAAAACAATGACGAGTAAACCTTAAATAAGGGGAAAAGACACAGGATCTAGAAAAGCAAAGTATCTGAAATCATGCACACTAGAAAACAACAAAAAGACATTTATTTATTTGTTTATTTATTTGCGGTACTGGAGATTGAACTTAGGACCTTGTACTTGTGAGGAGGGTGCGGTGCCATTGAACTAAATCTCCAGCCCCCACAAGACATTTTTAAAGTGCTAAGAAATAAAAATAAACTGATCTAGAATCAAGGCCTTAAGGGGCCCCAAATTTAGAGAAAAACATAACAACCCTTAAATGTCAGCTAATAACACAGCTCTAAAATAAAATAGAAAAAGACAGAAAAGGATAAAAAATCAGTTACAGCTGGAGATTTAATAAATTAAGAGAATATAATAAGCTGAAAACCAGGAAAAACTGGAAAACACTTGAAAAACTCTATCAATGAATTTAACTTAATTGACATTTATAAAACACTTCACTAAACAGCAGAATATACATTCTTCTTGTATAATACAGATCAGCCAAGATAGCGCATATTCTGAATAATAAAACAAGCATCAATATATTTAAAAGTTTTGAAATTATATGGAATAGGTTAGATTCTCTGAGCACAAGAGAATTAAATTAGATATCTGTAATAGAAAGATATGTGATATCCCTAAATCTGTTTATAACATATGGGCAAAAGAAAATTTACAAGGTATATCTTAAAGTATTTTTAATTGAATTAAACATAAACAAATCAAAATCTATGATATACATATATACATATATATGAGCTTAGAAGAAATTTTCTAATAACAATAACCCTATTTTTCACATTAAACACATTGAAAGTAAAGAGAAAATTAGACGCAAAGCGAACAGAAGGAAATAATATAGTACACAGAAAATAAACAATAGAGAAAAGCAATGAACTCAAAAGTTTCTTTGAAAAACTCAGTAAAAACAGTAAACCTTTGCCTACACTAATAAAAAATGACATAATTATGAATATCAAGAGTAATCATGACAAAACTATAGACAAGTGAAATTCAGTGAATAATATATTAAGTGAATAACGGTAAATAATTTTATACAAGTAAATATAACTAAAATAAAAGAGATTTCTTGAAAAACACCAACTATCAATGCTCACTCAAGAACAGGTTGGATTTATGGTTCAGAGGCCCTGATGTTCAATCCTAAGCACCACAACCACCACCCCTTCCATAAAAGGAAGGTACAGATAACTTGAATGATCTTGTATCCTCTAAAATTTGACTTTTTACAAAAACCTTTATACACACATACTGTCTCTCACCCACATCTTATATATGTCCAAAAGCATTCACTGCTGAATTTTTTTTCTGACATGACTGTTCTATTTTTTAAAAAAATTATTAGTACATGTTATAGTACACAATGATTATATTCATCTTGGGGAGTTGGTACACATATATAACACATCATAATTCTTTTTAAATCCTCTTCACTTATTTTCCTTCCCTCTTTCCTCTTTCACTGGTGAATTCTATAAAGTCTTAGAAGAAATAATATAAAAACGTACACAACTCAGTGCTCACTTCAGCAGCACATATAATAAAAATGTACACAACTCAAAATACAAGAGAAGGGAGTAATTTCCAATTTACTTCATAAGGTTAGCATTACTGACAACAAACATAACAAAAACAAGAAAAAGAAAAATACAGATGAATATCACCCATAAACAAATATAACTTTTAATAAAATATTACCAAGTCCAAAATACATGACTGTGTAAAATGAATGAGATTTATGCCACAAATGAAAAAGCATTTAAACATCTGAAAATCAATGAACATAATTCATAATAAGACCAGATAAAAAGAAAAATATATATAACCAAATGCAGAAAAAGCACTTGGAAAAATTCAGTATCTATGTTAATTAGAGAAATTTGCCTATAATTCTTATTGGATCCTTGTCTGTTTGGGGGATCAAGATAATGTTAGAGTTCAATAATGATTTAGAACTTCTCTTTTCCTCTCAATGTCATTAAAAACTTTGAGAAGTAGTAGTGTTAGATCGTCCCTAACGTTCTTATAGAATTCAGCTGTGAATCCATCAGGTATCAGGCATTTCTTAGTTGGTAGTTTTTTGTTTTTTGAATTACTGCTTCAGTTTCATTGCCTGTTATTGGATTGCTCAGGGTTAAGTGTTCTTGGTTTAATTTTAGAAATTCGTATGTATGTAGAAATCTCTACTCCTTCTGAGTTCTCTAGTTTGGCATATAGGCTTGTGAAGTACCTGCTAATAATTTTCAGGATTTCAGCAGTGTCCATTGTGATTTGATATTTTTCATTTCTAATTGCAATAATCTTTTCATTCCTTTTTTGGGGTAAGACTGCGAAGGATTTATGTTTTTCTTAAAAAAATAGTGATTCTTTGTACTTTTCTTTATAGTCTATTTCTGCTCTGATCATTTTATTTTCCTTCCTCATACAAGCTCTAGAAGCACTCATTTTTCTAAAACCTTCAGATGTATCACAAGGTTATTTAGGCTTGTTCTGTTTTCCTAATTTGGGCATTCACTGCTATAAAATTCCCTCATAGGATTGCTTTCATTGTGTCCATAGTCTTGGTACTGGCATTATCATTTAATTCTAGAAACTGTCTTATTTCTTCCTTAATTTCCTCTTATGGCCCACTGATGAATTATTCAAGAGTGTGCTGTTTAATTTCCATGTTTGCATAGTTTGTGATTTCTTTTGCTATTGATTTCTAGTTTCACTGCACTGTGATCTGATAATATGCATATTGTGGTTCTTTTGTTTTTGCTTAGCCATGCTTTATTAGCATGTGGTCTATTTTGGAGAAACTACTAGGTGCAACTGAAAAAGTGTATTCTATTGTTGTTGGATAGAACACTCTGTATATATCTATTAAATATATCTATTGTTCAAAGCTTTGATTCAACACTGATACTTCTGTTGGTTTTTTGTTTAGCTGATCTTTTTGTCAAAGTGGGGTAATGAGATTCTTGTACTGTAATTTTGTTTTCATATTTATCTGATCTTTTGTGTCCACAGATTTACAGTGGGTGCACTGTGGTTTGATGCATATATGTAATTGTTTCTTCCTGTTGAATAGTTCCATTAATCAATACATAATGTCTTTCTGTGCTTCTTTTGATCAGCTTTGGTTTGAAATCCACTTTGTGTGAAAATACAACAGCTATTCCTGCTTTTCTTCAGGTTCCTATCATGTGGAATATTCTCTTCAGTTCTTTGGTTTTTTCAATTATGAATTTTTTTGTGTTAAATGTATTTCCTACATAATTATACTGTTGAATTTTGTTTCTTGATCCATTCTGCTGTCTTCATTGGTGAGTTGAGTCCATTTACACTGATAGTTATAAATGGTAGATATTGACTTATTTCTGCCATTGAATTAATTTCCTGTTGCTATATTGCTTTTCCCCCACTTCTACTTAATGTCTGTCCCTACCTGATGTATTCATTTAATTGGACTTTTTGAAGTGGTCATCTTCATTGTCTCCTTCTAGGATATCCTTGAGAATTTTGTTTTTCCTTATTGAGTTTATTGGTACATTTTAGGTATAGAGTACAGTTCAATTCATCATCGGGATCTTATACCTTGATAATTTTTTTGACTGTTAGTTTGGTAGTCAGGAATTTCTTTAGGTTTTATTATATTTCAATTTTGAAAGATAACTGCAGGATATTACAGTCTGGGTTGGAAGTTGTTTGAAGAGCTTGAAACATTTCATTCCATGCTCTCCATGCTTTTAAATTATATATTGAGAAATATGTGATAAATCGAATAGTTTTTTCTTTATAGGTGGTTTGTTGCTTTTCTCTAGCAGTCATTAGGATTCTATCCTTGTGTTGTATTTCTACTATTTTAATTATTGTGGCATGGAGTTTCTTTTTTTTATTCCCGATAATGGCTATTCACAGTTCTTATGCTTCACATTCACATATCTTTATGTTAATTTCTTTTCTACATTTGGAAAGTTTT